TACCCAAGCAAATTAGTAAATGCAGGAGCTTATATAGAGGAGTAGAGAGAGCAACTACTTTATAGCAATAGCTTTAGAGGTTGCGTACCAAACCTACAATTCAAGCATCATTTCACGGCCACGTCTCTTTATGTCTAAAGCATTGGCCTGCTCAAAAATATCGAGTAAGAAAAGGAGAAAAACAAACAATTCTAGAAAACAAAACGGGAGATGTAGGTTATAGTGGCTTACTTTGCATGCTTTGACTGGTTCCATTGGTGCTCCACTTAGTACACTTGAATCGTATCTGCCACGTAATCTCATAGAAGGGCCAATTCCTGGAGATAACCGAGAATAGTTTTATAAAACAAGAACAGAAAATACCCTACAATACCGATTACCAAAAATAATCTTCTGTATCTAAGAAAACTTTTGCATGTAAAAGAATACGAGGACTTACCTGGTCACAGTCATTCTTGATACCTTAGCTTTCAACGGGAGCTCCAAATAACATGTCTGTTGTGGCACGCTCGACATTTCTTTTGAAGCAGTCATTAAGCCGTGCCAGTCCAAAATCAACATCCTACGTTAGAATCATTCATTNACCCCATTCCACGAACGGTCAAGACGTCGTTGAATCTGCATCTACGCACACTACCCAAGCAAATTAGTTAACGCAGGAGCTTATATAGAGGAGTAGAGAGAGCAACTAGTTTATAGCAATAGCTTTAGAGGTTGCGTACCAAACCTGCAATTCAAGCATCGTTGGTGGCTGCACTTGTACGTCTCGGGGATATGATGGACACCTGAAGAAAGAACAAGGTTGAGTGCAAAAACTTATAGCGAGTTTGCATCGCAGATAATCTTCAACTAGCACATAAAATTGGCTATTCCAAATATATATCACGGCCAAGTCTCTGTGTGTCCAAAACAGGAGATGCAGGGTATAGTGGCTTATTTTGGGTGCATTGATTGGGCCCATTGGTGCTCCACTTTGTACACTTGAATTGTATTTGTTAGATAATTTCGTAGAAGTGCCGATTCCTAAAGATAACCGAGAACAGTTTTATAAAACAAGAAAAGAAAATACCTTACGATACCAATTACCAAAATTAAATTCCTGAATCTAAGAATGCTTTTGCATGTAAAAGGACTGTGAGGACTTACATGATCGTAGTCACTCTTAATTCCTTAGCTTTCAACGGGAGCTCCAAGTAATGTGCTTGTCGTGGCATGATCGACATTACTTTTGAAGCACTCATTAAGCGGTGTCAGTCCAAAATCAACATCTCATGTTAGAATCATTCCTTGCAATAGCCAAACCTCGAACATTGACTTGGGGTTGCAAATCTCCTTACCAAGATAAGTAGATCCGAGTGGGGAAGAAAAGGAAAAACCGATGTTGATATCGTACGTGTGTTCACATGTACCTTATTCTTGAACTAGGGCTATCAACCGGTCGGGTCTTCCCAACGGATCCTCGCAGACCAAACCATTAATAACAGTTCTAGTTTGGTAAGTTTATTCGATCGAAGAATCAGGTTGGTTCTCGCTCTCAGCAGTCCCAAACCGATTCAGAGCCAAAGTCATTCACTTTATTAATTATATGTGATATATTCTTAATATTTCTTATCATTTTATCATATTATACACTTAAAATGTCAAATTTTATGTATAATACTAGTTAAAAGTGTTTGTTTTTTTAGCTTATCTCTAGTTTAATCTTTCTCCTTCAATTTTTATTAAGGATATATCATTAACTTTTAAATTTTAAGTTCATAGTTAAATAGAACACTAATAGTTTTTAGCATAATCGGTTTGGTTGTTATTTGAACTTAG